GCCGCCGCCGCCGCCACGACCGCCGAAGCCGCCACGTCCGCCGCCGCGGGCACCGCCGCGCACGGGACCGCCGCGGCCGGCGCGCTTGGGCTTTTGTCCTGGGGGCGCCTTGGGTTTCGGAAGGAAGCGCTCCATGGGGAGCAGCTTCTCGGAGCCGATGTAGAACTTGTCGCCCTCCTTGAAGGAAGTGGCCTGGATGCCCTCGGAGGGCTTGATGGTGAAGTAGACTTGGTTGATGGGGCCGAGGACTTCGTCGATCTTGCCAATGGAGGTCTGCGGGGCCGTGTGTCAGTCGGTGCTTGCTTGGAGAAGACGAGCCGGGCGCGCTGGCATGCAGGGGGGGATGCTGACCTTGTTCTCGAGGAACATCTGGGCGTTGAACTGGGGCACCTTGGGGTTGATGCTCTCGCAGACCATCTCACCCTCGCAGGCGTGCAGGAACTTGCCCATCTCTGCGAACCCCATGTTGTCAGTTTCTGGTTGCTCGCTCGAGAGTGGCTCTCGCCCGGGGAGGGAAGGGATTCATGTCGCACCTAGGACTTGCGCCGGGGGACCCATGTCGCGTTGCTGGAAACCTCCACGGCCTGTGAAGCTCTCACGTTAGCCGGCCTGATCTTGCTTGCATTGTCTGGTTCTCCCATGTGTTGGGGCTGCTGCCGGAGGGGGGTTCTGCAGTCAATTCGTACCTCCACCACGACCGCCGAATCCACCGCGCGGCGCACCGCGACCGCCTCGGAATGACATTGCGACTGTTTGTTTTTTTCGTTCTTTCGTTTCTGGTCGTGAAGATGTGCGTTGGGCAGCGTTGGGGTGATTTCTTTGCAAGCTGCTCGCCGTGTCGTTGCGTGCCTGCTTGCCTGCTTGCTTGCTTTCGGAGCTAGCTATCGAGGCTTCGACAGAAAATTTCCAATGCCCAAAAGTTCAATTGTGGTGCCGAAAAGCAGCCTCTGATTGGGCGGGGGGCCGGTCGGGGAAAAGCTATTCGCCGAAGGAGCCTCAGTGGTAATAATTATAACTGGGGAGGTGGGGTCCCTCTGAGATGCCTGGCTGCCGGCACCTGGCTCGAGGAACGGAAGTGGACCCCCCGGCTGGCAGACTGGCAGAGGACGAGAGAGGGAAAACCCCCACTACGGTCAACTACAGCATCTGCCCGTGCACCGTATTTGGCGGAAACACGACCCCTCCTTCACTTGCCTTGCAGCTTTTGGCGGGGTGACTCGAAATCGTCCTCCGAGGTTGTGTTGAATCAGCCCAAAATATTTCCAGCACTCATCCTCCACCCCCCTTTCCGCAACAACTCTCAACGCTCACCCTTCTCACCCACCGCTCCGAATTCGACCCCAATCGAACGCCGCCATGGAGGAAGCGAAGAAGGCTGTCGAGTCCATCACCGAGGGCGTCAAGAAGGTCGTTGTCGGTGCCGGTGCCGCCCCGAATAACAACAAGGACAACAAGCCCAAGAAGGAGAAGAAGGCCAAGGGCGGTGACGATGCCGCCTCGGCTGGACCCCTCGAGCTCAAGCCCGCCCCCGATTTCCTGCAGTCCCGTATTGAGCTGTTCGACCGCCTGAAGAAGCGACAAGATGAGGAGATCGCCGCCAAGGAGCGCAAGCCCATCGAGATCACCATGCCCGACGGCACCATCAAGGCCGGCACCAGCTGGGAGACCACGCCCGGCGAGATTGCCAAGGGCATCTCCAACAGCCTGTACAAGCGCACCGTCGTCGCCAGGCTGAACAAGGACCCCAACCAGCTGTGGGACCTCGACAGGCCGCTCGAGGCCAGCTGCAAGCTCGAGCTCCTCAACTTTGACGACGAGCAGGGCAAGCAGGTCTTTTGGCACAGCTCGGCGCATATTCTCGGCGAGGCCTGCGAGAGGCGGTTCGGTTGCTCCCTCTGCATCGGCCCCCCCGTCGACAACGGTTTCTACTACGAGATGGCCCTCCCCGGTGGTGCGTCCGTCCAGGCCAGCGACTGGAAGCCCCTCGAGTCCATCGTCGGCTCCATCGTCAAGGAAAAGCAGAAGTTTGAGAGGCTGGAGATGACCAAAGATGAGCTGCTCGAGATGTTCAGCTACAACAAGTACAAGCAGCACATCATCAAGGACAAGATTGCCGACGGCACTAAGACGACCGTCTACCGCAACGGCCCCCTGATCGATCTGTGCCGTGGCCCCCACGTGCCCAGCACCGAGCGCATCGAGGCTTTCAGCATCATGAAGAACAGCGCCTCCTACTTCCTCGGTTCCCAGGAGAACGACTCTCTCCAGCGTGTGTACGGTGTCAGTTTCCCCAGCAAGAAGGAGCTTGCTGCCCACAAGAAGTGGCTCGAGGAGGCGGCGGCGAGAGACCACCGCAAGCTCGGAGAGCAGCAGCAGCTCTTCTTCTTCCACGAGCTCTCGCCCGGCAGCGCCATGTGGCTGCCTCATGGTGCTCGCATCTACAACACCCTCATGGCCTACATCAAGGAGCAATACTTCAAGCGCGACTACCACGAGGTCATCACGCCAAACATGTACAACTCTGATCTCGTAAGCTTACTATTGGTTCTCGCATCTGGCGATCACAACACTGACGCGAGCCTCTAGTGGAAAGTCAGCGGCCATTGGGCGCATTACAAGGACGACATGTTCGTCATGGACGTCGACAAGGAGCAGTTTGCGCTGAAGCCCATGAACTGCCCCGGTCACTGTCTGATGTTCGGCCACGCCCCCAAGGCGTACCACCAGCTGCCCTGGAGGGTCGCCGACTTTGGCGTCCTTCACCGAAACGAGGCCAGCGGTGCCCTGTCTGGTCTCACGCGCGTGCGCCGTTTCCAGCAGGACGACGCCCACATCTTCTGCAGAGAAGACCAGATTGGTGAGCGCCCCACCAGAGGCGGTGCATCCTGGATCGATGACTGACGCGGATGTAGGCCAGGAGATCACCAACCTGTTTGACTTCCTGAGGTCCATGTACTCTCTTCTCGGCTTCACCTACAAGCTCCGTCTCTCCACGCGCCCCGACAAGTTCATGGGTGAGCGCGCCACGTGGGACAGGGCAGAGGACATGCTGAAGGTCGCCCTTGACGAGTTTGCCGCCACCGAGGGTGGCGTTGCTTGGGAGCTCAACGAGGGTGACGGCGCTTTCTACGGACCCAAGATCGATATCAAGATTCTGGACTGCCTGAACCGCGAGTGGCAGGTATGTCGACGCCCATGTGCCCCTTGAGAAGGAGAACACCCGTGAAGCTGACTCGGTCACAGTGCGCCACCATCCAGCTGGATTTCCAGCTGCCCATTGTAAGTTTCTCCCCCCGTTGACGACGGTGCGTGGCGTCGGTGCTGACCATGTCAGAACTTTGGCCTCGAGTACGTCACGGCCGATTCCGCCGCCAAGACAAAGGAGGACGCCGCGACAAAGGGCCCCGAAGTCAAGGCCAAGGAGCCTGAGGCTGTTGTCGAGTCTGCCGCTGCCGCCGCCGCTCCTGCCGCCGCCGACGGCAAGGAGCCTGCGAAAAAGCAGCTGCGCATGTCCAAGCCTCTGACACCTGGAAGCGCCCGCCCCGTCATCATCCACCGCGCCATGGCCGGCAGCATTGAGCGCTTCACGGGTGAGTGGACGCGGGAACTGCAGGCAGCACGCTTCAGCCGTGGACTGACAAATCTCCAGGTATCCTGATTGAGCACTTTGGCGGCAAGTGGCCCATGTGGCTCAGCCCTCGCCAGATCCAGATCATCCCCGTCGGCCGCGGCTTCTTCGAGTACGCCGAGGAGGTGCAGAAGATCTTCAAGGACGCCGGCTTCTGGGTCGACGTCGACCTGTCCGGCGAGACGCTGCAGAAGAAGGTCCGCCGCGCGCAGCTGGCCCAGTACAACTTTGTCTTCAGTACGTTCTCCGTCCTTTTTGCCGCACCTTGCGCTCCGGGAGACCGGCCTTCGTGCACGCAAAGACTGCCCCCCCATCCCCGTGACGTGACATGAAGTATGGAAGCAGCAGCTGACCACCGCCAGTCGTCGGTGACGAGGAGATGAAGGGCCGCCAGGTCAACGTGCGCTACCGCGACGACACGTCGAGCCAGGACCGCGGCAAGCCCGTCGACGTCGACGAGGCCATCACCAAGCTCAAGGAGCTGCGCGACTCGCGCCTCGTCTACAACCCCTGGCCGTCGGCGAAGCCCGCCGCCCCGGAGGCGAAGAAGGCCTGAGGCCTGAGGCCTGAGTAGTAGGACGGCAGGCTTTCGTGTCTAGATCGCGGAGAGGCAGAGCGTGATGGCTGGGGGCGCAGGGGTTGCGTTATCTTGCATTCGCCATGGACGGTGGGCGGTAGATGAAAGAAAAAGCAATGAAGAGGATGAATTAACATGTGAAGATGACTTGCGTTTTGGTAGCTGTGCCTGTCGATTTGTTCGGCATGCTGTGGTCTTGATTCGTCACGGCTGCTGTGACATGCTTGGTCGGTGTTCCGGTTGTTGTGACATGCATGCGTTGATGTTCTGGCAGCGCCTGAAGGCAAGCAACAAATCTCTCTCGTTCCGAGGCGGCCCGATTTCACCAGTCCTCTCTGAAACATCCCTTCGCTGTCGCTCACGCTCACGCTCACGCTCACGCTCACGCCGCCAGTCTCAGTCTGAGGGTATCATGCATTTTGTATTATCTGCCGCACAGCCAGCCAGCCGGGAAAAAACTACGACACACCTCCAATCCACGCAACGATTTCAAACATGTCCGCCTGACAACAGAGCCATGACGTCAGGGAGGCGACCAGGAGATCGAGGCCATTCCCTGCCACGGTCCGCGAACCTACAGCCACCGTCTGTGTGCCCGCCGCGTACCGTGTGCTGTGCCAGCTTCCTCGCCGCCTCGCGTTCCGATCCCACTGTTTTTGCTTTGCCATGTTATAAGAGAGAGAGAGAGAGAGAGAGAGAGAGAGAGAGAGAGAGAGAGAAAATAACGCAATTTGTTTCTGCCCAGTCCGTCACGCCACGCCGAAAGGGAAAGGGGAGAAAAGTCATGAGGGTGAAATAGACAAAGAGTGCCAAATGCCCAAACCCAGGGTCAGGTTCGGAGCAGGGAGTTGAATCCCCGTGTTGACGGATCCCCCCACCGCTCAAGGCTTCGGTATGCGGATGCGGCGGCTCGTCATGAGGCAGCCGTGGACGACGAAGAGGAGGGCGACGGGGTGGAACTCGAGGAAGGAGCCGGCGAAGAGGGTGCCGAGGGGCAGCTTGTCGAGGACTGCACCGGTGTAGATCCAGTAGGCCATGACGCTGTCGGTGGCGAGCGACGTGGGGATCGGGGTGCCCTCAAAGTACTGGCTCTTGCCGCTGGCGTCCTTGGGCAGCACGGCGACGGTGACGTTGAAGCGGGCGAGGCGCGTGAGGCCGCAGAGGACGAAAAAGGTCAGGAGCAGGCGGTCGAGCGGCGTGCGCAGGCCGAGGGCGTAGGCGGCCGACGCTGGGGCGACGCCGAATGAGATGAGGTCGGCGAGCGAGTCGAGCTCCTGGCCCATGAGGGACGACTTTTTGCGCCAGCGCGCCACCTTGCCGTCCATGAAGTCGAAGAACAGACCGAACGGCAGGAAGAAGAGGGCGAGGTACATGGTCGAGAGGTCGGCCGGGTCGCCTAGGCAGTAGCTGAGGGAGGTGAAGATGGAGAGCGTTCCGCAGGCGCCTGTGACACGTCAGTGAGTATGATTTCCTGGGGGGAGATATATCGCCAGTACTGTTGGCCAACAGCCGAGGAAGCGTACCATTGCACAGAGTGATGAGGTCAGCCAGGTGCATCGCTCGGATGAGAGAAAAATGGCCCGTCTCAGAGGAGAGAAGAAGCTTCTGCTTGTCCTGCGCTGCATCGCCAGTTAGCACACAGACATCGTGGCACGGGCGAGAGAGGTGGACGTGGAAGCGACGTACCAGGCGTGCTCACGTCACCGCCCTCCTTCAGGCTGCCGTTGGTCACGGCGCTGCTTGTTCGTTTCGACATGTTCTTTTGTTTTGGCTGACAATGCGGTGAGTGTGTGAGTAGTGTGTGAGGATTGAGGTGGACAGTCGGTAGATGGTCAAAGTGGTTTGTCGTTGAGCTGTGCGCTGGTGTTGGCGGGAGGCAAGGCTTGCTTTGGCGTTGACGGAGGAAGGCCAAGTTTTTGTGCGGCCACCAGAGGGAACTGGATGCAGGATGCGAAATGTCGATGAAGTGGCAGGTCGTCACAATCGCTTCGCTTCGGCAGGCACTATGCCGTCATCGGTCCGGCCGCTTCAGCCCCAAACTCGACTAGCGTCATTCGCCCGCAAACCGTCCGCCAGCCTCAGCCACAGACAGCGACGAACACGAGCACGTACACACTGCTCACCTAGTGTTGATCTGCATGACAGTAACAGGGTACAGGTAGTCTATCTTCATGCACATTCTCTACAGTTGTGGTGTATTGTGGGTGGACTGTATGGACAGTACGGGACGAGCTCAGCCGGCTCATACCCCCGTGGTAAACAAGAGGAAGAGGAAGAAGAAGACATGATAAAACAAAAACACAATGAGACACCTATCGAAGCCATCATATCCAGGTGCCTGTTTCCCCCTAAACGCCGCATGTGCTGTTCTATACCGTAATGCTTGTTGCTTGCTTGCTTGCTTGCTTACTGCCACGGGAATCCGGGCTCGTACCATTTCATTCCAATCCGAGACCATACCAAACCAGCCAGTGATCCAGGCCTGTACCGCATTTAACAGACAAGATGATATTAAGTGGGAGCCGTGTCCCGTCGATTGGCACATATCCCAACTGGTTGGTGTCCAGGGTCTATAGTCATGACCGACCGTGTCGTGAGGAAACATGTGTCCCTGCACACAAAAGAAAAAGGAGCTGTATGGGCTCAAGTCGACCGCAGCATGTGCTTCTTGGCTTGCCCTCGGGCTATGTATCGGCATGTGCTTTGCTCACCGGACAATGATCAATCCGAGAGAGTCGAGCTGGGAGCTGCTCGACCCAGAGACGCCGCAGACTGTGTAACCAGTAGGGCAGAGCAAGTTTGTCCTGCGCCATCCTGTTAGACGTGTTTGCTTGTGCATCTGCAGTGGCACACTTACATATGGCCGCCCTGAGGGTTGCCGTACACGAGGGACATTTCGCCCAAGCTTGTGATGACCGCAAGACCTTGGATCGACTCGCCAGCCCTGATGTGGAATCCGGTGATGTATTCACCCCGTCGAATGTCTGCGCACTTGTTAGCCTTGACCCATGCCACCGTGGCTTCCCGCCTAGAGTAATACTGACCAAAACTGAACGTGTCGCCACCCTCCTTGCCTGCTCTCGCTCCCAGAAGCTGTGTCGAGGTGTCTTCATAGATGAACTCGATCCCGTGCACTGTTGTGGGGTCGTGGTACACAACGACACGGAGGAGCAGCCTACCCTCGCGTTGGATCACAACCTCCTGCGTTTCGCTGCCCTCCCTCGCTGGAGACCCTACGGGCAGGCTTCGATAGGCGATCCGGCTCAATGGACCAGGTGCCAGTGGGCCAGTCAGCTTGAGGGACGACTCCTTGGAGCAGAGCCTCTTCAGATCGTCAATCATCAGACTGCCTCCGCCGCCCGAAAGAGCTCGTAGGCGAACGTGGCCTTTACGGATGGCTTCAGGGAGGCGCTCCCTGATCTGCAGCTCGCTGAGAACCTGCTGCTTTGGGAGACCCTCTCTCGTGCCGTAATCGATCCAGTGGTGGCAAACGGTCTCCCCCTCGCCTAGAATCTCGATCGCCACGACACCCGTCTTGGCCGTCAACACAATTTGGTTCCCTTCGATGGGAAAGGCGTTCATGCTATCGTCGACGTGACAAGGTCGATCGTTCGGCAGCCTGAAGCAGGGATGCCAGCGGAACCGGAGACAATCGAGGAAGTGCCATGAACACTCATCTTTGCTTAGAACGAGCCCGCCCTTTGATTTGGTTCTGGTGGAGAAAGATTCCCGGGCGACAAAACTGCGTCCGAATGTCAAGAAATCGTTGCTCATGATGCCCGTCTCCCTTTCGATACATCCAAACATGCGGCCGATTTCCTTCAGGTGCCCTCCTAGACCAGCATTGGCAGCTTCCCAGGAGCTCCCAGCCTCGCTCGAAACAGCATCCGTATCTAGCCGTGTACAGTCGAGGAAGGAGTCGCCGACTTCATCGAGGCTGCTCGGGTAACTCTGTAGGAACTGTGAGCCAAAGACGGCTAGATTGAGGTCTCCAACTGAACCGCCGTGTGCGACGTGGCCTGTCACTGCACCAGCCGCCTTGTCCCAGTGCGCGTCAAGCAGCAAGACTGAGACATATTGCTTCTGGCCCGGCAGAGGCTTGAAGTAGTCATTGACAGCTTCGGCAGCCACATGGAACAGTCCATTTTTGTTAGCGCCTTCGGTTGTCTGCTGCGCAGATTGCAATTCGCGGAGTTCAGCAACCGTCTTCTCGGACCGAATTATGTGAACTCTGGCTTCACGGCGCATCTTGCCCTGCATGCGATCCTGTTGGTGCGACGTGCTGCCGGTCCACTCTTCTTCGAATCCAAAGCTTCGAGGACCCATCTTCTGGCGCACCATTTGTTCCCCGGTGAAAGCGTGCCAGAGATACGCTGCCATGCGGTACTTTCGTACAGCAGCATCGAGGCCGTTCCCTTCCACTGCGATGCGCGCAGGCACAGAGTCGAACGTCTCGGGCGAGTCTTTCGCCAAGAGAACGGCGAGTTGCAAGGGCGCATTGTATGGTGGCGTCATGTTAATGGTAAGATAGGTCGAGTGGAGCCTGTTGCTGTTCGAGCTGTTCGAAAGCTTGGGGCTAGAAAAGTCGAATCGGAGTCTGTTGGGACCTGGCTGGAGGTAGATGACGGCTTTCCAGTGAGAGTCGCAGACCTTCCATTCCGTCGGAGGGAACTGGTCGTCTTCACGGGTCACGGTGACGACGCCTTCAATGGTGTGTTGAGACGGGTCTCCGATCGTGCCGTACACGCAGAAGAACTTTTGGTAGACCTGCACATCGATCGTCAGCACGAAGAACTTTTACACGCATACGGACATGGTGTCGTGATGCGCTCCGTTGGCTGGTGCGTTGACGTTTCTGAGCGGCCAGCTGAGAAAACATACATGAGCATTGTTGGGAGCATTGACAATTCGAGGTGCGTAGTGCGACACAGGTAGGTTTGATTTGCCATTGAGAACTGGAGAGCCCAAGCCGCTCATGCCGGAGACACTATAACGACTCGAGGCTGGCAATGGCTGTGGAGAAGGGCGGGCGTTTGGGTTGATGTTCTTGAGCTGCTGGTCCAGGGCGGGATCGGAGCCGTGAGTAGAAGGAGGCGTGATGGAGCCAGTGGTTGGCACGGTGTTTCGACTGGCATCGCTAGACGAGTCGGTGTTGTATTGATCACCGGATCTGTCGGCGGAGGGTTCGGTCCTGATGCTGGCCTTCGACCGGCGGCGCAAGCTCTTGAGGAACCCTGAGGTCGCCATTTCTGGAACTGGAGAGAAGGAATACGAAGACGAGTTGTTGTAAGCAAGGAGCCGAGTCGCTCCTGGCTAGTCGTGCTTTGCTGTCTCGCAGAAAGACAATTCGGTCAAGTCGAGCTGTGCCCTTGAGTTTGAGGTTGCACAAAAAATACCAAAGTCTAAGCTAGCTGTTTGAAGGTCGGCCCAGCAGCGGCGACGGCGGCGGGGGAGGGAGGGGAGGGCGGGCGCCAGGTCTGGCAGGGAAGGCTTGTCAAGGCGACGGGGAGCACGGGCTTCAGGTTGAAGCACAGAGCTCGTAACGAGTAGTGATGGAGCTAGTTGACCGTACGAAGGTGGTCCGACCTTGCGTGGCGACTGTCTCAAAAGTCAGGAAGAGGTAGGGTGTTTCGCGTCAAGCGAAGTAAAGAAGGGCGCCGTGGTCTGAGGCTCTGGGCGTTGTTGTTGACGATCGTGAGGCTCCTATTGCGGGAGGAGTGCAGGAAGGTGCCTGGGTCAATGAGTTGTAAATGGAAAGTGCTCGTTTGGCGCACAGATGCCGGGATTGGACAGGTTCTGGGTCGAAATGGAACAAAGCAGATGCCGGCCGTAGGAAGGAAGCAACCTGGCCAGTCAATGACGTCGAACTTGGATTTGGAAACGGGACCGGGAGGACGTGGATGTCTGAAATTGCAAGCCGATAACCAAGATGAGAGCGGCCAAGCCAGTCCTCCTAGGGGGGGGGGGGGTGGTTTGGTGGTGCTAAAATGGCACCCAACGTAAGGTCGACGAAAGTGGAACTGGTGTGGCGCAACGCTGGAGCTCGGCGGCCATGTGCTAAAAGGGAATCTAGACCAGGGGGGGGTGGCCTGGAGGAAGGGAGAAACACCAGCCCAAGACAGCTGGAGCATCAATTGGAAAATAGCAGAGGCAGTTGGAAAGCAGAGTTCGTTGGCACGATGGATGGACAGCGGGGGGGAAGAGCGAGAGCAATTCAAGACGTGATTGATCTGAAGTGAGGCGAGTCGACTTCAGGCAAGGTGAGATGGTGCAAAACCTCAACAGCAGGGGAAATGAGGACAGGACCACAGGCCGCGCAAGGCAGAGTGGAAAAGTGAGATGGATGCTCCAAATAGGCCGGTGATGGTGCCGGTACTGTTGCTAGGTAGTGATGCCGCCAGGTGGGGCCGAAGGAGGGAAGGGGGGGCAGAGTCGCAATCGCAAGGTGAAAAGCGCATACAATCGAGATCGAGGAAACGGCCAGCGGGCGATGGCGAATTGGCATCAAGGCCCAGCCAACCGAGCTGTCCAGCGAGGAGAGGGGTGTGGGTGGTGTGGTTCGGTGCGGCGCTGTTTGACCGGCTTGTGGATAGAGGGAGACCCAATTCAAGATCAGGATTCCTGTCTCTGTTCTCCCCCCCGGCCATCCAAGACTTCAAGGTCCCGGTTCTAATCCCAGACCAAGACCTAGGCCCAGTGCCAGGATCGGTGCCAAGTATAGCCTGCAGGTGCTGTTCGTGCTACGCGGGTTGAACGGCCCAAGGGTGGATGGGTGGCTGGAGGGCTTGTGTTGAGTGTGAGCGGGAGTGGAGATGGAAAGCAGAGAGTTGACGCTGCTTGCGTTTATCTGGTCTCGTCCCCTGCCGATGTGTTGAGCCTGTTCCTTGATGTGTAGCTGTTAGTGTTGCTGCTCCGTGAAACCATGGAGCGCAAGCGTAGGGGCCACAAATGATGTGGTTGGAATGTCACGATGGTGGGGGGGAGAAGCAGAATACTGAAGGTCGGAACGAGAAGTAGGCAGCTTAATTGTCTTGACTTCTCATCAGATCATGTCGCTCGCTCCCTCTCGCTCTCCCCCTCCCGAAAGGTCCGGCCGTGCTATCTCCTCCGATCCCTACCTGTCTAGGTACCTTCAATTGCTCAGTCAGGTAGGATGAGGCCCCCACCTCAGGGAGACGCACCTCGTAATGTTGACGCTAAGCTCGCTGAATCTGCATGTAGTGTATGCGGCTACTGCTTCACAATCGGAAAGGCACAGGCAAAAACGGTCTGGTTTTGGGACATCTGCATCTGTGGCAGGTGACGATCAGTGCGTAACGACTGGCCATCGCTGCACCCAGCACACCCAAAGCGCCCAACGCACCTTCGGACCGTGAGTAAGGTGCAGTAGCAGCACGCAGACCGAAGCCCGCAACCCCAACACAAGACATGCTTGGAGCTGCCAATACGAGCATCTTCAGGAACAGCGGCGCATGCAGATCCTGCTGAACCTGATATGTTTTTTTCTTCTTTGGTTTCGCCCTTGCCACTCCATTGTAAGGCTCTGACGGCCATGAGAGTTGCTCCATCATCATGCTCTGCCTTATGTGAACGTTCATGTCGTTGTCAGGTTGTCAGCGGATATAGAGCGAACGGGCGATCGCAGGTGGCACAAGAAGCAGGAAGCCAATTGGCAGCTCATTAAGCAGGTAGGCCATCAAGCCACGCATGTCCCGCCATCGATCCGTCGCTCGCGGGGCGTAGCCGGGGCCGCTTAGAGCATATACAACATCGAATACTTATCGCTGACGGACTAGTGAAGCTAATCAGAGAATACTTCGATGCGTTAGGTTTGGTGAGCTCCTCGATCCGTGAAGGGGCCGGTGCGTGAAAAGGTCAAGAACCTAGAGTCAAGTCTTCTCTCTGCATTTTTGCAGCTTGCAGACTGTACATGTAGATTGCAGATATCCCTGTATTGACCGTAGTCGCTACGTGCTTCTCCTGTCATGACATCCCTTAGCGCTAAGGTACTCCACTATCAATCGGATAGGAATGTCTGGAAAGTGAATACGGTGCTCCTTAGATCTGTACCCAGAGTCAGTAGGTGAGCAGGTACCCATGTGCTCACAGACTCTCGGTTCGTTTAGAGCACAGTGCCTGCGGCTGTTCGTCAGTCACAGTCTGCCCTGCCAACCAGCACTCAGGTACCGAAATCCAGTTTAAGTGGTTTCTTCATTCCTTACCTCGACAACCATTTTGCGCCTCAAGACTCGACGCCCTCTCCAACACGGCCACTCCTGATTCCCAAACCACCTACACTCATTCAGAATACAACCTGCCAACGAAGAACTCGATACGATTGATCAGCGAAGCGATCGAAACCAGTCATTTTTCTTCCTAGGGTCGCCAGGCTCTGCGACAGTTGTCCGATCACCTGTCCTTCTCCCCCGCTTACGTCCACCCAGTAGCCGCCGAGCCCCCTTCACTTCAGCTCACGACTGCCAATCCCATCACCAGCTCTCCCTGTCCTTCTTTCGCACCGGAACACGCACCGCAGAACAGCCAGTCGCTCGAACCACTTGACAGTTCTCTTCATTTCTTTCTTCAAGTCATACGACCCCCGCCTCGCGCGCACTCAACCTGGTCGAACGGCAGATCATGTCGTCGCCCTGGAAACAGCAACCCGAAGTGGTGGTGGATAAGGTACTCAAGCGAGCAGAAGTCAGCAAAGTAAGCCCAGACATCATGACATCGTACGCTATGCCATGTCAATCTAACCCCTCTCTCTCTCTCTTCGACAGATCGCACGGAAACTACAAAATCGTCTGGCCTTGGCACAGTTCAAAACCAAGCATGGCTGGGAAGACCTCGCTTTCGAGACGATCGAGCCCAAGGTGGAAGAGGAGATGCGCCGCAAGAGGATGTGCGAGGGCGATGGCCTGTCCGACTCTTCTTCCAGCGCCTCCGACCTGCCCTACCCATCGCGGGCGTTGATGAGCTCGCCTCTCAAAGCCCCTCTCTTTTCCGATGCCATCGGGTCCAGCAACGGCAGCACCACTCGCCGCAAGAGGACTTTCAATGCCACTTTCGACTACGCACCTTCTAGTCCAAGCAAGCGCCTGCGGTCCTCTCCGACACCGAGCAAGTCTTTCCATGGACACCATGGTTGGAAGGGTCACCATCAACTGGCCCAGTCATCGCCCCTCAAGCCAAGGCGACAGCAACACTTTACCACATCTGCCGGTCCAAACGTCTCCCTGTATCAAAGCACACGTAACTTCACATTTGACCTGACGTCTCCCAACCTAACGACGTCAGATGACGAGGATGATCTGCCACTTCACTCCTTCCGTGCCCACGATATCCATTCATCGCCGCCGAGCACACCACCCATGCGCAACCGAGGACTGCCTGGTCGTTCCATGCGTGAGCGGGGGTCTCCAGGACCCAACGGCAAGAATGGACAAGAGGGCGCAGACTTGCTCCTCTATCTGGCGGCTTCCCCTTCGCCGGCGATGCCCTCGACCAAGACGAGAATGGACCCGCCGTCAACCCCGCCATCCAAATTCAACCGTGACATGGGCTTGCCATCTTCACACATGACGACGCCAGGCGGCGGCAACCTGTTCCCCAGCACGCCGAGCCAAAACTTCGACTTTGCCGACTTTGTCAACATCACACCCAGTCCTGCTCAGAAGCATTGGAAGACGCCGGTCAGCCTAGCCACGGCGAAAACTCCATTGAGTTCAGCCAGACGGCGCCTAACTTTCGACGACCCTTTGCTTTGATTTCAAAGTTTCTCTGATCTGGATTGGACCAGCCTTTTTTTTATGTACATGATACCTCGACAGTCCGCCCTGCACATGCGGAACACTGAGGCTCTGCGAGCCTGCATTACTTGATTTTATTCATCCTCTACAGGAGGATTGCGGTCCATTTTTGCTGTGTAAGGATACGTTCGACACGACTTCTCTTTGTTCACTGGAAGACCGCAGGGATGGCGGTCTTCTCGGTCAGCGCTACGGATGGATGGGAAGGCTAGGGATGGAAGGGACTGGAGCACGAAGCGTGGACGGCACGACGGGACATTGGGAATCTTTCTTTTCGGCACAGGCTAAGCGAGGTCGCCTGTATGCAAGCCCAATTGCACAATGACGTGGTGCAAAGCATGCGGTATGCTCAGTTTGATGAGCCTGCACATGTTCACCAACCAGCCCCGTTAGGGTGGAGAGCGACGCGTGACTGCGAATTACCGACGCGCCTTCGCGTGTCATTCGCGTAGCACGCGCACTTTCGCGTTACCCAGACGCGTTTTCTCAAATGAGTCTATAGCCAATCAAGATGGATGGAATTACTTTAACCACGTTCCATTTCTCTGCCACGCACGGTGTCGGGTGCTCCAGGACTACCAATAGGCCGCTCAAGTGAAGGAGTGCTACGACGCTCGTCAGTCTACCTTGGTGAAACCGAAGTGTGAGCAATTTGATAGTCAAATCACGAGGCACGATTTTCAACGAGGCATCTGTCAATTGCTCGTGTGCACGAAGGCGTCCCCATTCAAGGCTGATGCAGGCCCATCTTGTGCGCGCCGGGTTCGGTCATTGGAATGCATTAGAGTTGCCTAATTCCGTTTTCATTCAAGAAGAGGGCGGGACGGACAAGTGTCCCCGCCATCGTGCTACTCCTTCGACCCGGAATGGCTCGTCGTAAAGTCGACAATAGCCCGCCGCACGCCTTCCGGAGACGGCGTCGCAGCGCACACGTCCGGCTCAAAGCCAAAGGTCCGCCGCAGGTAGTCCCTCGTCGTGGGCCCTATGGTGGCGACGTAGGTCCTGCCGTCCCTGGCCTCGGCGGGGCGCGCCCTGCCCGACGCCTCGTCGAGGAGACCCAGGCCGCGCAGCAGGCTGTCGCAGCCCGTGGGCGAGAAGACGACGACCCAGCGCGCGGGGCGCGATGCCGTCTCGTCGAGGAGGCGCGCGAGGTGGTCGGGGAATGTGGGCATGACGCCCGTGCCGTAGACGGTCACCTCGGTCACGGGGATGCGGCGGTCTGCCGGCAGGGCTGGGTCGGTGAGGGTGCGGGGGATGATGTCCCTGCGCTGCTCGCCGACGAGAAACAGGAGCGGCGGTTTCGGCACGCGCGCGGGGTAGCGGCGCACAGCGTAGTCGTCGAGGATGAACGCGGCGAGGGCGTCCCCGTTGCCGGTGTGGGAGCCGTGGATGGCCAGGGGCGGCGTCTGGGGCACGGCGCCCAGCGCACGCGTCGTCGCGGGGCCGACGCTGTAGACGGGGACAGACTGGAGATGTGGCCAGGCGGCGTCGTCTGCGCCTGAGCTCTTGCCCTGTTCGACGAGGCCGGTGAAGGCTTCGACGGCGCGTTGGGAGGTGAAGATGAGGCCGCCGTAGGACGCGCCCTCGTCTGAACGAATGCCTCGGTTCTGAAGAAGGGTCCGCACCTCATCCAGGCCCTCTCGAATGAGGGTGTGCTGCAGCACGGGGACGAAAGTGGGCTCGAAGGACCAGCCGTCCTCGTTGGTTGACTCGAACAGATCTTCGTACGAATCTCCCGGCGACGATCTCGTCTTGAGCAACAGTATCGGCACCGCGCCGTTGACACTTGCTTTTGATGCACTCATGTTGGCGGGATATACCTGTTCGACTCGGACCGCTGACGACGCGCAATGTACAGAGCGAGCCAAGTCTCTGGTCCTGTCGATTGGAGCAGTGATATGGTGCGGCGGTCAAGCTGCGAGCCTTCTATCAAGGTTTCTTCCATTATTCGAAGCTGTCCAGATGCCGGGTCCACCACTTGCCATTCACGGCAGATCCCCCACTCGTTGAATGCTGCACCTGGTTACGTGCCTAGGTCCTGGAGCTCTGGATTTCTTATCGATAAGGACCGCCGTGGAACTGGCGACGATGTTCTGGACAGGACAAGCAACCAGCGATGGTTTTTAGCAGCTTACAAATTTTGGGATAATCTTGATCAGACTGCCAGCACGCTCCTTTTTCCCTTTGGCACATACATTGCGAAACTTTCTTACGCTTGGAACCCATTCAATCTGCCACGGACATCTCCAGCATGGCTCAGCCGGGACGGGACGACAACACCAGTGGCGTGACGCTCGCGGACACGAATCCAGCTGCCGCACCCGGCGCAACGGCCGCCGGAGCCGACGAGGCCAAGGCGAAATATCCCAAAGGAATCGTTCTTGGCCCTGACGGAAAGCCGTTCGTGCCCCCAACACGACCCACGCGTGACACTTCTGTCTCGTCGCTGCAAGCAGACTCGCTAACTTGTAGACTGACCAGCTGCCGAACATGCACATCTTCGACCTTCTGGGCGTCGATGGGCAAGACACCCAAGACGAAGGGATCTGCGACGACGGCGACGGCGCCATCAGCGACGAATGGGCTTCCGGCCGACTGCCCGCCGGATGTAGAGCGCCTGGGGAACAGCTCGTGGACGCTCCTGCACAGCATCGCCGCCACATATCCCGAGAACCCAAGTCCGGCGCAGAAGGACGACCTGCGCGGCTTCATGCGGACGTTCAGTAGGCTGTACCCGTGCTGGGTGTGCGCCGAGGACTTCCAGAGCTACATCAAGAAGGACGAGGTGCGCGTCGAGGGTAGGCAGGAGTTTGGCAATTGGCTTTGCATGGCACACAATGAGGTGAACCGCAAGCTTGGCAAGAAGGAGTTCGACTGTTCGCGTTGGGAGGAGAGATGGAGGACTGGGTGGAAAGACGGGCGATGCGACTGAGGTCAAAGGCACAGCGATGAAATCATGGTATTGGGAGGCGTCTCGGTCTGGCATACACACCGCTCCCGCTTGTAGAACATTGTACATAGGACGTAGATGAGCACGACAATACTCCTCCGATCTGACACGGCTTTGACGCGGGAAAGCATCCGACAAAAGGCGAGAAAGTTCGGCCACGGGGGCAAAGGAGAACAGGAACAGGGCCACAATGGACAATTGCCATACAGAACGAAGGCCGGGCTAGGTTCGAACTAAGTCCGAGATGGCGGGCCCGTAGCAATGGCGATGGCGATGGCGATGGGCGATGGCGCTTGTCAATGGCTACGGGCCATGCATGGCGTTGAGTCGAGGCAGGCAGAGTCAGGACGCTGGCAGGTGCATGTAGGCGGATCCTGGAAAAGACACCGGCAGCAGCAGCCGGACGGCCCCACTTCCAACCATGACTTCCGTATGCATGTCGTGGGCTGAGCTTTTGGGAGGAGCTCAGCTAGGTGCCTGCCCGCATCTGAAGCTTACGGACGTGGATGCCATTGTGTGGCGTGGTGGAGGGTCGATTACATCACTACCACGATAGGACCCCTCTTTCGTTCTGTGAAGCAGACATGGCTGCACCCGCTTGTCCCACCACCAATGCTGGAGCTTGCCAGGCTTGCAGCATGACTGGTGGTCTAGCGCTACCAGACAATAAAGCGAATCGGTGCGTGTCTTACGAGCAGGTCCCTGTCCAGAGCAATTTTCGAGTGATGCGGGAAGGACCGAATCTATCATGTTGTCCTGGAGCAGAGACAGCTCCAGACGTGGCGTGACCCGGCGTCAACACCACCATCAGACTTTACCAGTCCTACCGTCATCTATTGGACCGGCCTAGCTACCGACCATTCGTCAGCTTTCTGCATTCTCTTTAGTGTCCTTATAAAATCCATATGTCCTAGACCCCTCGAGCTCCCTACCTCTGCTCTACTTGGTTCGCACATCGTCAAACACTCTGCTATACTACCTGTTCCGCGCCATACATCAGATCAGAACCTTTCTGTGCCTTACCCCGAACCAGCCATGGCCAGTATTCGCGAGGAAGGGCTCAAGGAGCCCATTGAGGTGGCCACCTACCTGTACAAGAGACTCTACGAGATTGGCGTCCGCTCACTTCACGGATTGCCCGGCGACTACAACCTTGTCGCACTGGACTACCTTCCCAAGGCCGGCGTCAAATGGGTGGGCAGCGTCAATGAGCTCAATGCAGGTGGGTTCATGGTCGAAAGCTTCGTTTGACAGCTCGATTGATGAAATTCCCTAGGTTATGCTGCAGATGGCTATGCCCGTGTCAAGGGCGTCTCGGCCATCATGACCACCTTTGGCGTAGGTGAGCTGTCGGCCATCAATGCCCTCGCCGGCGCCTACTCGGAACACATTCCTGTCGTTCACATTGTCGGATGTCCCTCCACCGTATCACAGCGAAACGGTATGCTGTTGCACCACACTCTTGGTAATGGCGATTTCAATGTCTTCGCCAACATGAGCTCCCAGATCTCCTGCAACATGGCCAAGCTCAACAACCCTGCCGAGATTGCGACCCAGATTGATTATGCTCTTCAGCAGTGCTACATTCAGAGCAGGCCTGTCTACATCATGTTGCCTACCGACATGGTGGAAAAGAAGATCGAGGGCGCCCGACTCAAGACACCGATTGATCTTGAGGAGGCACCCAACGACCCAGAAAAGGAGGACTACGTCGTCGATGTCGTCTTGAAGTACCTCCACGCTGCCAAGAAGCCAGTTATGCTCGTGGACGCCTGTGCTATTCGTCACAGAGTGCTAGACGAGACCCACGCGTTGTTGGAGAAGTCTGGTATCCCCGTCTTTGTGACGCCCATGGGAAAGAGTGCCATTAATGAGACACACTCCAACTACGGTGGTGTCTATGCCGGCGAGGCCTCGCGCCCCGAAGTCAAGGAGAAGATAGAGTCGGCGGACTTGATTTTGTCCATCGGTACTCTCAAGGTGAGCTACAGGATCTCCCACATAGCAATCAATTTTGGCTAATTTGTTCACAGAGCGACTTCAACACAGCCGGCTTCTCGTATCGGACCTCTCAGCTCAACACCATTGACTTCCACAGCACACACACCGTGGTACGATACTCGGAATATCCTGGCGTCAAGATGAGGGGCGTGCTCCGTAAAGTGACGGAGAAGCTTGACCTCAGCAAACTGTCGGTCATCCCGTCGCCAGATGCCCCTGTCGCCCTGCCGACGAAGGAGGAGGATTCGTCACAGACAATCACTCAGGCGTGGCTGTGGCCCAGAGTAGGCCACTTCTTACGCAAGAATGATATTGTAGTGACGGAGACTGGCACTGCCAATTTCGGTATCTGGGACACAGCCTTCCCAAGTGGTGTCACGGCTCTGAGCCAGGTTCTCTGGGGCAGCATCGGATGGTCTGTCGGCGCTTGCCAGGGCGCTGCTCTGGCCTCCAAGGACGCCCAGACTGACAGGCGGACTATCCTGTTTGTGGGCGATGGATCATTCCAGCTCACCGCCCAAGAGGTCACCACAATGATCCGCCATCAACTCAGAGTGACAATGTGAGTTCCACTCTCTATGCGTCCAGCATACATGACTAACGCAACATTCACAGCTTTGTCATTTGCAACGACGGCTACACGATCGAGCGTTTCATCCACGGCATGGACGCCGGATACAATGATGTTGTTCAGTGGAAGTACCAGGACACGGTCACGGTGTTCGGCGGCACCGACAAGACTGCCAAGAAATTCCAGGTTCGCACCAAGGAGGAGCTGGACAAGCTCTTCAAGGACGAGAGCTTCAACAATGCCAAGGAGGTGCAGTTTGTCGAGCTGTACATGGAGAAGAAGGATGCGCCGAGGGCACTCATCATGACGGCAGAGGCCAGTGCCAAGACAAATTCGAAGGACAGCTAGTGTACTCATGATGTTTTCGCGGGGAGATTATTGCAAGACCTGAGGTTGGAGGAGACTGAATGCGTTGTAAGGACTGAACAGAAATTACCAAAATAAACCACTAATATTACCCTCGATATTCTCTTGAGCAACGTGGGACGAGTCACGTCAAGAAGCGAGTCATCGGAGGCTCTATGATGCATGCGGTAATGATGGTCTGTGTGCAGGAGGTGGGGCCCCTGACGACACACAGCCGGCTGGTGAGTGAGTATGTGGGTACGTACTTTTCAATCGCTGAAGCTTCACCTTGGAAGCAAGCGTATGAAAACCTCGTTACTGTGTGTAGCTCAACGCGACTCATCATCCCATCACCAAGATCTCACGCCGTCTCGAAGCGATAATTCACCATCAGTCCAAGAAGACCAAAGGTTCACTTTCACGAAAGCGACAATGTCGGATGCTCCCAAGAGGAAACAGGGCGGCCAAGGCGGCGGTGGAGATAGGCCCTTCAAGAAGAGCAAGGTAGGCCCCTCACTTTCTGAACAAGGCGCTGGCTTCCCAGCCGGAGCACCATGCGCCTCTTTTTCATTCTTTGTAGACATTGGTTCGGAACGCAGCACTGACGGTGACAGGGCGGCAACGCGGGGGCCTGGCAGACGACGGCGCACAAGTTGAACCTGGCCAAGCTGAGTGAGAAGGACGCGCATCTCGAGGCCGGAGGGCAGGGTATCTGGGTGACGTTTGTGCGGGGCATGGACCGCAAGGCGATTGTCGAGTTTGAGAAGCTCTGCAACGAGGTTGGTGTTTTTTTCTTCTTCATCGCTGCGGGACAGTCTGGTGATGCCCTTCGCCCTGCTGCCGTCCCGCCCCTTTGCACTCCTGGGCTGCGTGCTGATGTGTCGTACAGCTCGGCGAGACGATTTACGGGATTGCACCTCCTGCGGACGAGGCGGCAGTGCCCGGGGAAGACGACGAGGACGACATTGAGGCGTCGATCCGCAAGGAGATGGAGGGTTTCAAGTCTCAGGAGCCCAAGCCCAAGGGGGCGTTCGCCATTGTGCGTGCCGACATTGAGTGCGTCTTCTTCCTCAAAACGCGGGAGCCCGTCGACCCTGTCGCGCTGTGTCGGCGCATGTGCACGGATGCCAAGGGGTGCGCCAACGTCATGGAGAGGAAGACAAGGTACATCAACCGCTTGACACCCGTGGCCGTGACGGGCAAGGTGGCCAGCGGTGTGGACAAAGTGGCCAGGCAGGCGCTCGCACCGTGGTTCCAGGGCGTGAAGGCGGAGGATGCGAGCGAGGACGCGCAGAAGGACGCTGCTGGCGAGGGTCAGGCGCCTTACACGGTATGTCAAGCGAGGTCTGGCTTGAAAGATGTCAAGATTCTCCTACGTGAACTATTCGACGAAGAGTGTATGCTAAAGGTGGTGGTGTGTGACAGTACGCGATCAGGCCTTCGATCCGTGCCAACAGCGACATCAAGCGCAACGAGGTCATTGATCAGGTGGCGGGCTTGATTGGCAAGCAACACAAGGTCAACCTGGATAATCCAGACAAGGTCATCCTTATTGATGTTTACAAGGTACAGTTCCCGCGTGACCACCCTTTTCGCATCGCCCCCCCCCCCTAGTCTACCGTCTCGTGGATATGTCAGCTGACGTTGATGGCGACCCCATCAGAACTTCTGCGGCATGAGCGTCGTCGATGGAAAGGAGTGGGAGGAGCTCAAGCGCTACAACATCAACGAGCTTCACAAGGCAGTAGCGAAGCCCAAGGGAGGCAACAAGGCGGCTGAGGCTGATGCTGTGGCTGCGTCTTCAGACGCGCCGGCGCCCGTGGTTGTAAATGAGACGCACGACGAGGAGGCGAAAGCGAGCTCGTGATTGATGGATGGGCTAGGCCTTTGGAAGTGTGCGAGCCAGTGCAAGCCTTCGCGTCGGTCAGCTCTGATCCTCGGGGGTGGGCGAGACCGCTCCACGGCCAGGATGCAGGTCGGGCATCCGCCAGCAATGGGTAACGTGCCGTCAGCGCGCAGCTGGAGGAGTTGGATGATTGCCCAGGCCGGAACGCGAGCCCTTGCATCTAGACAGATGCCAATTGAGGCTCTCGGTGTGGGAGACGGATGGTATGCGGGTGGTCGGCCTGTCATCAGTGGCGGTAACGTGGCGGGCGACATATCGAGCATCAGCATCAGTCATCATTCCCTCGAGGCACAGGCCAGCTACAACATTTTGCTCCTTGGGGCGTCATATTTGGCAGCTTAGCTAGCCTCTCCCGATGGTCTCACCCTGATCCCCCACTCATCGAAATTTGTCGGCTTTAGATGCTGGTCCCCCCGTCCGGCTCCGAGACGGGCCTTGAATTTTCGCAGCGGGGATGAGGAAAAGGGCAACGAGGGCCAAACCTAATGACGGCTTTTGCCTCTACCTCTGCCCCCCTCTCACTTGTGCTTGTGACAGTGGTGGTGGCCCTGGTCTCGGTTGGCGTGCACCCTTGGTCGATCAGGCTAAAATGACGCTTGCTCCGGGCGGCCACGCTAAGCCCTATTGCGACAATTTTGACGAGCAGAGGGTCTGAGGAGGGTCGGAGAGAGGACCCTCTCGGCACGGTTCCTTCCAGACGTTCTAGCGAAGTTCCAAAGTGCAGGGCAGAGACATCTGCCTGACTGTCATGCCACCTCCTTGCCTTGTTGCCTTGTTGCCGCGTCTGCGTGCGAGTGTGACTTATCTCCCCTTGAGACATGAGTTAGACGTCGCTGGGAGAATTGTAGCGCCAGTAGGAGGAGCTGGAGGCTCAACTCCAAGTCGAGGCAGCCAGGACGTGGCCATGACACCAGGCGGGCGGCATATCTTTCGAGTGAGCTCCAAGTGATGAACATGTTCGTTTCTCAAGAAGGGGAAAGACCTACAGCATGGCCGCTTTGGGATTTGGGTCTCGTAGGATTAGGACAAGGACACTGGTCGAGCTGTCGTGTCTACCTAGGTAGATACCTACCGAAGGTAGTTGATATGGCTGCTTTCGGCGGTCATGTCCTTCCTTCCACGGTACCTAGCTTCTCGTAGTAGGTAGTGAGGAAAGAGGTACTGACGTGGAGAAGAAGCACCGACGTAGGACCGAACACTACGTTGCTCCTGCCTACATTCACCCCCACTGAGAAGCTTACTCGGTACCTGTGGACGTTGGGGGGCTGGTTTTTGGTCTTCCTTTTCTTTTCCACAGGAAGCAGCTTCTCACATGAAGCGTCTAAGTGCTGGTCGCTCTCCCCTCATCCACCCCCCCACCCCTTCCTCACTCCCCCCCAGTCTTTAGAGTGCATCGTTCAAAGGGACAAGGTGAGCCAATCGTTCGAGAGGTAGGACCCTCCACGACGGGGGGGAGGCTTTGGCTCGCTTGCTGTCGACCAATCACCAAATCTCCGGCTCGCTTCCCCATGCTCCTGGGACCTTCGATCCCCAATTTTCCACCCAGAGCATCAGCCAATGGGCACGTCCACTGTCATCTCTAGCCAGGTACGTTTTCTCAACGCCAACTCTTGATTTGGGTCTCGTTCCCTTCAGCTCAACCTCATCAGTTCCCAGCTCCCCCAGCTACAAGGTGGCCCTCCGCCATCCGGCTTTGGATTGGACCCAGAAATCCAGTGGCCAGACTGTGTGGAAAAGAGAAGCAATACACGCACAAAAATCCGACCAATGCTAGAGCTTGGTTGACCGGACCTTGAACCGAACGAGTTGGCACGCACTGTCTATCCAATCTCTTCGCATGCCTACTTTTCCTTCCCTCTTTGCTCCTTGGGCGAAAAGGACGAAGATCGCTTTGGATTGCTCCGTGTAAACAAACGGTCGGGCGGATCTTTTCTCTGCGCTGTCATGCGAGTCGCATTGGATGCATACGCAACTTCCTTCGCATGAGCATGGTCGGCACCCCATGTCAGAGACCCTCAAACGCTCATGTCGGAACCAGGTCCCTTGCTCTTTGGCTCTTTCTCCCTCTCGCTCTCCATGACGAGGCCCTGGCCCTATTCGCATTCGTGCAATCTCTATCCACGTACGCACGCGCGCCCGCACCCTTCCGGGCTATGTCTGCCGGAGACGACTGCAGGATATCTCCGAGGGGGGGGGGGGGGGGGGGGGCATCTTTCGGAACTACGAACGGAGCTACGAAGGGTAGGTCGAGGAGGAAACCCCCTCACCAAGGACCTGGCCTTGCAACTCTCTACCCCCTCTAACCCCGGGACGGGTCGGAGCAGAAGCGATTTTCGGATTACGCAGCGGCGTGGCTTTGGCAAGTATCGATATTGTTTCTCCCTTGTTCATACATTCCCATCTTGCCCAGTGAGTGCCTGGGCCTCTAGCGGGCATTTGACCTACTCGTCTCACATGCCCACTTTCTCTCTAGCGTAGCCCTCCGGCTTGGGTCCTGGATGTGGGTTGACGCTTGTGCTCGTGCTCGTGCTGGTTGGTACCTACCTTGTGTGTCATCACTAGCTATGCAACGACCATGACAGCCCCAACGGGTCACCCGCCCGGTCACTTGGGTCCACGTCCATCTAATCGTCCCAAACTCATTCTCGCGGTGTAGGCTTTGGCGTTTTGGGCGTCCCATTAAGCGAACAGGAACCGTACTACTGTGCACCCGAGACGCCCAGTGGATCACTGGATCGCTGGATCGCCAGGCGCGTTGCTTGTCTTGTCGACATGGCTCTCACTCTCACTCTCTCTCTCTCTCCATCCACTCTCTCGTTGCCAACCAAGCGCAAGCTTTGAGGCTTCGAGGCTCGCTTGCCCGTCTATTCGCTTGCTCAAGGCTGCGCAGCGAGCAAGCCTCTCGCTTCACCACCACTCCTTTCAGCCCTTTGCCATGTCTCGCCTCGTCTCCTATCGCCGTTTCTGCCTTTGATCGCCAAAACTACCAGGCCGCCACAACGCACAAAGTTGGCCATAAGGCCCCCCTCCCTTTCTCTCGGCTCACCTTTCGTCTTCGTCGACAAATAGCAGCGTTCCGGTAACCGGATCCTCCTAC